CAGCTGTAAAACACAGTGTGCCTCCCACACTCTAAAACCAACCCAAGCCACTCCACTCACCCCAACCACAGCTTTTCTTTCTGGAAAGCCCCAGGCAGCACTGCAGGGAGCCTCAGCAAAGCCAGAGCTAGTCTCACCTCAGCAACCAAGGCGGCACACCCAGAGCCACATATAACCTGCCCAGCATCAGCCAGAGGCCAGCTCCCCTGTCGGGCTCTGTCCCAGCACTCCACTGCCCCATCCCAAGGTCCCTCCCTGCTCTCTCCAGCCCAGGGGGCTCAGCACCAGCACTGGGGGAATCCCAGAGGCACAGGGCAGGAAGGGAAAGGTGAGAATGAAACCATACAGTGTCTGCAGACAAACTACCACCTCCAGGTCAGATGCAGCTGAAGTGGCAGCGGAGCCTCAGAGAGGACACAGGTAAAAATGGCCCTGGGAGGATGGCCAGCCACGTGCTGTGGCAGGACTGGGCTGGTTTCCAGAAGCCATCAAGCCACAGGCTGCCTGTGTGCTCAGCACAAGCAGGGGGCTTGAACGGCAGTCCAGGGATTCTTCCAGGTCAGGCTACAACCTGAAATGCCAGCCCTTGCTTCAGCCCTAAAGCAGAGCCCCAGGATGCTGCCTTGTTCCATTACCCCGCTCTCCCAGCTCTGTCACCACCATTCCTGGCAAGAGCCCATTGTGAATCCAGGTCGGACCACAGCTGGGGCAGGAGGGTTTTCCTGCTGGGGTCGGCTTGGACAGTGAAGCAGTGCCTGGAGAAGAGCCAGGAAGGTTGTTACCCAGGAATGCCATACATATGGCTCCTGAGCACCACACTATCTGCCCACACAGCTGGCCACCCTACACCACTCCTGAAGGGACATACTTGTCCCTGAGACCACACGATGCCTCACCCAATAGGAGGAGAGGGGAAAGAGGATAACTCGTCAACACACCGACCTGCATTGCACCAGCATCATTCCAGGTAGCCACCCTCCTGCTCCAAGTGCAGCAGCCCACTGGGCACAAGCTGGGGTCCAGTTGCATAAGAGCTCATCCCCCAGCTGAGCCAGCAGGCACCAGGACAGCAGAGCAAAGCTGGCAGGCTTCAAACAGCCCAGCTGCAGGGCTTCCACCAGCTGCTAGGCACCCCACAGGCTGGAGTCAGTTGGAAACCTTATCAAGCTTTGTGACACAGCAGAGCTCTTCCGGCACTGGGCAGTCAAGGGGCTCGGTGCCTGACAGGTGCTTTGGCCCCACAAGCTCAGATGCTCCCAGAGGATGGAGCTTTCTGGCACTGCAGGACCAACCACAATATCCCTTCCCTGTGCTGGGTGGATGCTTAAAAGGAGATTCTAGCACCAGCCCTGACACGCCCTCACATTGCACCCACAAGACCATTAAAAGGCAACAGACAATTAACAGGAGGAGAGGAATGAGGAAAGGAGCCCCTAGAAGAAAGGCAACCCCCCTAGAGCACATTATCCAGCAGCTGCTTTTTAGAAATGAGGTCATTCTTCCCTATCTACAGCCACATCAGTCCCCAAGCATCATGCTTGCAAGCATCCTGCATCAGACCAACTTTTACTAGTTCACCCCTGCATCTTGTGCCCCAGTGCTGGTGGGAACAGCCCTCCCACTCTGCCCAGCAGGAGAGGGAAAGAGCTGATGGACAAGAACACCATTCACATAACAGAAAAATTGGCACGGAGAGGGCAGAGTGCTTGAGTAACCTCACAAACATCCGGCTTGTGACAGTGGGGCTATCTTCACACCCCAGGCACCAGCTTGGTGAGCCCTGATTAATGAGAGCAAGCCCAGCCTCTCTGGTCTCAGACAGTGTTTTCTCGTGTTGAGATGCAATTTCCTAGTTTTTCATTTCTCTCCATTGGCAGACACCACTGAGAAGAGCCTGGTTCCCCCTTTGCTGCACCCTCCCTTTCAAAAACCAGGGACTCCGTGGTTACAGTCTCCCGTCCGGGTTGAACAGTCCCAGCTCTCTCAGGCTCCCTCTGTATGAGAGATGCTCCAGTGTCCCACCAGTGTCAAGTCTAGAGGGTGCACTGCCCAGGAGCTGTGCAGAAGAAAGGTTTCCAGGCCTGGCCCCAGCCAGCTCTACCTTCTTTCTTCATTTTTGGCCAGGGTTTAGCACTCAGTGGGCAACATTCCCCACAGCCTGGCTCTATAGCACTGCCTCACCAGGCTCCCTACACCTGCCCAACACCCCAATATGCATAGGTACAGCTTGCCTCGTTCCTGGGGCACTCTGAGCCTGCAGGATGCTCAATACCTGCAGCAAGGACAAGGGTACCAATAACCCCACTGACCTCCCTGAGCCCCATGGGAGGATTCTGGTGGGTCCCTCAGCCCCACCAAACAGCTGTGATGTATCTCAAGATCAGGAATTCAGGAACAGGATTCCCCTTTCCAAACAGCAGACAAGCCATGGTTACCCCTGCCCACCATGGCCATGAACATTGTTCCCATGCCACGGGCAACCCTGGATCCCTGGCACGCACCCTGCTGTGTTCCCCTTGATACCCCTACCCCCCAGCTTGGGTGCAATCACCCCAGGACCTGTCACTTGCTGAACCAAACAGCACTGCTGGGTCACTCTCTGCCTCCACTCTGGGAGGCAGCTGCTGGGAGAGCCTGCGCTGAGGCAGTGCCGGGGAATGAACGCCCCAGACACACGAGCAGGATGTGACCCACCACCCCCATCAACTCAAATGCGTTGGTGAGCCCCAGAACCAGGCCCTGTCTTCCCTTCACCTTCTCTACAAGCCCAGCCATAAGGGGACCAGTGCTGGGAAACAGCATCACATCCCCCTCCCACTCTGCACTTGCACACCTAAAACCTGGTACAGGCAACTGGCAGCCCCCAGATGCATTGAGGAGGATTGGTGGGGGTGGAGGGAGAATGTCAGCAAGACTCCATCCATCCTGGAGCCTTTCACTCCAGTAGGGACACCTGCATCTGGCAGTTGTTTTTGTCACTGAGCACAACGACCTCGCCGCCCCCACAGCAGTGCTGGCACAAAGCACCCCACAGGGTGTGCACAGTTCCAGCCTGGAGGTGTGGAGTGGGGGGGATGTGATTGATGTGGAGGCTTGACGAAGGGATGTGATCATGAGCATTCAGAGTGCAGAAGCACTGGAACTGGGGAGCAGCAATCAGAAGGATTCAACAGATCCCAAAATGATCCTCACCTATTCCTGTCCCAGGGGCTGGACAACACCCTGGAGTGGGAGAAGCTGCCTGCTTCCATCACCAGAGACCAAGGCCTCCCCAGTCAGTGTGGATGGGGTGGGGGTCCTGACCTTTCCCAGCCCTGCAACATGGCAGGCTTCTATACACCCTCTCAAGCACCCCATCCACCACATTTGACCCAAAATATGACAGTGAGCCCTGACGCCCCACCACCTGCTGTCTCAGGAGCTGCCACTCTGGCACTGAACTCTCCCTTATAAACTGTGTTCTTTAGGTACCTGTCCCTGGGGTGCAGGCAATGATTCCCACTCCCTGCCCCAGCCCCACCTGGGTGCCGAGGATGTCAAGACAGGGGTGTCACTCAGGAAGGTGCCTGCCATGGCACACACCCCGTGGCTGTGGCTGGAGTGACAGGCAGCACATGTGCCTTGTCAGGGCTGTAAGCCTGACCTGGGTGGCAGCAGCAATGCTGTTGTATTGCACTAAATAGGAATTTAGTTACATTGGGTGTTGGGGAAAGACGTTATTGGGTCACGTGAATGGCATGTTCCCCCTTTCACATGGGTTCCCGTCACATAACCCCCTGGTTCTGTATGCCTTATGGTCTGTCCCACGGATGGTCCCTCCCCTCACCCCTCCCAGATGTGGTCCTCTTTCCCCGCCCCCACCACCTGGGGCACAAAGCCCCACTGCAGGTGAGGCACACCCTCTTTGCTGCCTGAGTGGTCGCCAACATCAGAGGTGATCTGTCCCACATGAATAAATTGGACACTTTGACCCACGTGGCAGGGAGCGCTTCTCGTCTCTTATCTCGTTCATGCAGTTCTGTGTGGGCTTGGGTCCTGAGTGTGCTGGGTTTGGACTCATATAAGCCCAGAGATCCACAGATACTGCACAATGTCATCCAAAAATCCTCATTTCCGTAGGAAAGGAAGGAGTCCATCCAACCAGATGCCAGGCTGGCAAGTGCAGTCCTGCCCATCAGGACCAGGGCAAAGGCATCCTCGGGAAAAACACTGAACCGCAACACTGAAAACACGGAGGTGGCAGGGGAGGCATACACAGCTCACTCTCAGGCCCCTTCAGCTCCAGCCCTCCCAGCTCTCACTCTCTCCCCTAGCTCCATGGGCTGTTAACCCAGACATGTCATTTCCACCTGCTCATCCATCATGCCACCTGCCTCTCCTGACATGCTGCACAGCATGACCTCCTGCATGGCTAATTGCTGATGCCAAGCAGGATATGGGCAGCAACCACAGCGGGCAGGGAGACAGCCTTTCCCCACGTGCAGCCTGTCAGCAGCGAGGCCAGAACCTGCTTGAGGTATGGGGGGCTCTGGCGACTGGGCTGTGGCTCAGAGCATGCTCGTGTTCCTGTGCTGCTGCTGTAGGACATGGGCATAGCCCAGCCATCTGCCCCTTCCCCTCAGACTTCCTGGCATGGATGGCTCCCTGTGATGTCCCTGTGCCCCACAGCATGGCAAGTGCTGCATGGCAAACTCCAGCACCCTTCCAGAAGGGTGCTGAGGGCTCCTACACAGAACTAAGCATCCCCATGATCCTGCACAATGGCCTGGCTTCCCACTGTGCTTCCTCCCCAACCCCCTGCACCAGCATAGCCCTCTCCACCCATGTGGCAGCCAACTTGGAGAGGGCAGAGTTGATGCCAGCCCGCTTCAAAGAAGGGAAAATTGAGGTATGCTCCTTGAGCAGCCAGACGGACTCAATAAGAGCCCCTCAATGCCCCATGCCCCAGAAGTCTCTACTGCCAAGTGGAAAAACCCCACAGTGCTAGGTTGGGAGCATGGAATTTCCATACCATTGAGCAGGTATCCTCTGCCCCACCTCATGCCAGTGCACCAGGCTTGGCACAACAGCCAAGACAGGGACAGCAGGAGGGGAGCCTGCCCCAGCTCCAAGCATCCCCACAGCTGCAACCAGACCCACATTGCCTCATTCCCCTTCCTTCATGCCCTCAGCACCCAACACCAGAGTCCAGTAATAGCCCTCTTTTCCACAACTACGTTCCTATGCCGTGTTTTCAGAGCTCTCCCCCATCGCGGAGCAGCACAGCCACCAAATCCCCACTGAGGAGAGGCTGGCACGGGAAGCTGGCTGTAGGGGGATTTCTAGCAGCCCCCATGTGCCGCCCAACACTGCAGGCACTGCCTTGACTCATTCCACCACCTCCTTCCCCCAGCTGAAAGGTGGATGCAAAGGACCAGCATGTCATCCAGAGCATCCTCCAAGCACTGTGTCTGCATCCTCCCTCCCCAAAATGTTCCCCCAAACCTCCTTCTCTCCTCACATCCTACCTGGCCATTTGGCCCAGGTTATTTCTGCCAGCATTGCATTTCACTGTCCTGACCTGGGACCTCTGACCATGCGCTCCTGTCTGGCTAAAGGCACCACACCCCGTATTTTGTAGTGGTAATCTTGTAAATTTTGTAAGCTATCAAAATAGCTTTTTCTGAGCAAACTGTGATACACACACACAGATACTCCAGCTGCTGTCATGCTAATGGCTAGGAAATATGAGTGTTCACGTCTGACCTCAAAGGTGTTCCCATCTGTCCAGCAAACCACCACTGGGGACTAGATCTGTGGGAATGGGACCTGCAGGGGAGCTGGCACAGCCAAATTGATCTAGGGCACTAGGAAAGATGCACAGTTCCATTTTGTCACCTACCAAGCCCTACACACACAATGCCTGCAGCAGGGTGTGGGATCTGAGGAGCCTACAAAACTGTCATGACCCTAAATCTCAGTCCCAGAACATCCATGGAGCATCCTAAAAGGAGTCCTCTTCTTCCAGGGACAGGTAAGGGGAACCCAGGGGATACAAATGCAGCATTGAAGGCAGTGTGGTAAGGGCCCTCTGGGTATGGGAGAGACCCTGTTCCTGAATAGTGGGATGAAATCCGTGCTTCACAGCCCCATGGGACCAATGCTGACACCACCACTGTGAGGTTTGCATGTTTCTATGTGCCCTCCCATAGGACACAGGGGGCCAACACCCTCCCAGCTGTGGCTGGGTCAAGTCTGCCAGCAGCAAGAACCTGGTACCCATTTACACCCTGATAAACTCCCCCGCCTTGTCCTCAGCAGTGACCCCACACCCAGCCAGCCCCTCACCACCGGCATCCCCCAGCCCTGACCTTGCTTCTCATCTGCCCCGAGGTGGAAACCTTCCGGATGAGCTTGTGAGAACTGTCCTCCTGCTCTCCCTCGCTGTCGGATGACTCCTCACCACCAGCCTCGGGTGAGATGGGTGTCAGCTTGTCCAAGTCCAGGGATGACACTGATTCCCGGGTCTTCCTTGAGAACAGGTCCCCAGGCACCAGCTTCTCAGCCATCTTCCAGTCTGGCTTGGCTCAGAGCTCTGTAGCCCCTGATGACAGCCCTGAGAGGACAAAGACACATAGGAATGGAGGAAAAGCCCTGAAGAGACATGCATGGCCCCTCATCCTGTAAGGCTCTGCTAGCTGGGAGGTGCAGCCCTGGAAATCAAGGGAGATGGTGCATCCTTGCCCAGAAATGACACTCAGGGTGGCATCCTTGCAGGCAAAGTTTTCCTTCCTTGCCTTTTTTTCAGTGTCCCAACTATTCCTCAGCCTACCTGGCATCCCAATGTTGTCCCTGACTTGGGCACAGGAGACTGTGGTTGCCCCGTGCTGGGGCATTGGTACGTTGGTGCATAGAGGAGTGGAAGCCATTCCCGCAGCCTGTGCTATTTCTCCTTGTTGCCCACCCCCGAGGTGCTGGGCTGCGCTGCGTGGCCGGGGACAGCGCAGGGATCTCCATGAAAAGCA